AATTTTATGAAGAAGTATATGCTCTTCAATATGGTGGTAAAAATGTCCGATCAGAATTTAATAAAGTGTAACTTATAGCGCCTCGAAAGTCAATGAAGGAAAGTGACTTTTTTTGCCCCCCCCCCCTCCCCTGTATAGTTCTTGTATTTCTTCTAGCCTTTCCAAGATTGAGCTACTTCATTAAAGGTCTACGTTTCGGCGTCATCGTCAGAGCCCGAAATAAGTAATAATAACATTTCGAAGTAATAAATAACATTTCGAGACCTGCTCGCTCAAACATTTCAATACTCATTACGATTTCCTTATACCAGTAAATTACTCAACAGTATCGATCTAGTAATTCTCACTCCACCTCTATGTCTCGCTCCGCGCGACCTCTTAGATACCATTATTTACTAGGGAGTCGCTACCTCTTTGATAGTATTATATGTGAGGGTCGCTTAACCCCTTGATAGCATTATTTACTAGGCACTCGTTTAGACTCTCCTGGTTACGCTTGAACTCTATTCTTTGTGACTTGTATTTGCTCCCCCGTATCAGCTCTTGGTCCCTATAAAAGGGGGTGCCCGCTGATACGGGGCGCATTTGCCAGGAGTCGGTTCGAATAAAACTTAAAGAACCAGCTCTGCACAAAGCAAAACGGAAGCCCCCTGATCGTGAACAAGCTTGGGCATCGGCCGATAAGCAGCACACTAGTTATCATGCATGTCCGTTTGCAACGTGAGCAGTTTGCCTTGGAACACTCGCTACTTTTGTGGCTGTCAGCAAAGCACTTCCAGCAGCGTTGCTCTTTTTTCAAGATTTCTCGCCTTTCATTAATGTCTGCTATGGTTCTGCAGGCACTTGATGAGTGGTTTGTATTTTTGCAAAACACGCAGATCTTTTTGTCCTTGTCGCTTTGTTCTTTGAAGGACCTGTCCTTTTTTCCCTGGTAGTCATGCTTGGGAAAACTGCGTAGTCTTGACTCTACGTATTTCTTTGCTTCGATTTCTTTTTCTAGTTCCTCCGTCCATAGCGCGTCTTGTGCACAACGAATGTCCTGACCTGCTGAAACCATTTGGTTTATCAGCATTCTGATTTTGTCAAAGACGTTGTTACACGCGTCTGCATTGTTGGCTGCAGGACGTAAATCAATTAGCTTTTGGACAATTTTAGCTCTATTGACGGGTTTGTTCCCATATTTTTTCCTCAGAGCTTCGATCATCCAGCTGTAGTTTTTTGGTACTAATTGTATACCTTTCACAGCTATTTCCGCTTTTCCTCGCAAGCTGTCTTTCAAGAGCAACATTTTCTCTACCGTGCTCAACACTTTGTTTTCATGCACGAGTGTCTGGAATATTGCCCAGAATTCTGGGAATTCTTCTTCCTCTCCGTAGAATCTCGGCATTTTCAACTGGCTTGGTTTTAATGTGCGACATATTACGTCTTCTCTGTCGACTTGATTGTTGTCAGAAAGGTCTTCTGACAGCCACACGGAGTCTGCGTCTATTTCGACTTCTCCTGAGATCTCTTTACTTGGATCGCCGAGAACAGAACAATTGGAATGACAAAAATCCGACAAAAACCGCTCAAATTGGTGTGCTCGAAAACACTCCTATTCTTCACACGAGACACGAAGCACAAAATCTTCCACAAAACAAGATGTGCAGAGGCAGGATCCTGTACTCAGAACAGGTGTAATACCTTGAAACCTCACGAAAACGTAGAGGAACTACAGGTAGCCAACAAATATCCGGGATACTCTGCTTGCGAGCATACTTGCGGTGGACTATTATGTGGATGCTTTCTGCCTGTACAAGCATGTTCATTCATCAGGGTCGCCCAAATACCGATATCAAAACCAGTGTATGAGGTCGTCAGTTGCAAAGACTGGACACCCTTAATCGAATTCGAAGTAGAATTCAAAGTCCATAATATGGAACAACACAGGGAATTCACTCTCATGCCTTACGTCACACAATCGCATGAAGAGATAGCTCTCACAGTGATATCAATTCAGAGACCAACTGCATCCCTTATTCGATCAGCGCTTTGCAGTCTCACAGGAAGAAGCTCTAGTAATTCCTAACAACTTTGAGCTACCAGTGCGCTGCCCTACGGCGAACATAGCAGCAAAAAACTTCGCCAACTGCAGTAATCAGATGGTTTGTAACTGCAATAGCTACAAAACGCCACAAACTTGCCATTGTCCACAACAAGCAATAAGGGACATTAGAGCAGAGATAGAAAATCGATTACCAATATTCACTCCATCA